CCCCGTCCCTTCATATTTTTTTTTTTTTTTTTTTTTTTTTTGAGACAGGGACTGGCTAAGTTGTCCAGGCTGGCCTTGAACTTGTGGCGATTCTCCTGCCTCAGCCTTCTGAGTGTTGGTGTTACAGGTATGTGCCACCATGCTCAGCTGTGGCCTTGAACTTGCAATTCTTCTGTCTCAGCCTCCCAAGGAGCTGGAGTTGCAGGCAGGCACAAGTATTTTGACTTTGCTGTCCCGGCAAGTGCTGTTTTCCTTCTTGTGCCCGCAACTGAAAAGGATAATGTATTTTCATTCGATTGTATTTTCATTTAAAAGAGCAGATAAGCATAAAGATGAACTAGAACTACCAAAATGCCTCAGTGAGCACACTGGTGTCTTACTATCTCTTCATTCTGGGCATTTGACTGTCACAGAATCTTGCTTGCTTTTATTTTTGCATGTATTTAACATTTGGATCCTTGATTTTCTTTAAATTTAGATTTTTGTTTGTTTGTTTGAGACAGGGTCTCACTATGTAGCTGAGACTGACCTGGAACTCACTATGTAGCCCAGGCTGGTCTGGAACTCACGGCAATCCTCCTGCCTCAGCCTCCAGAGTGCTGGGATTTTAGGCCTGCACCACCAAGCCTGGCAAGAGTGGGATTTTTTTGCGGGGGGGTATGGTACGGGGATTGAACTTGGGTCCTTGCACTATCAAGGCAGGCAGTGGAGCCACTGAGCTAAATCCCCGGCTAGAGTGGGATTTTTCATGCACACACACTCCGGACTCATCCTTGGACCAGAGGCTTCGGTGAGTGGAGCTGCTCTTACGGAGACATCTTTCTCCTTCTGCATGATCCCAGGTCCCAGCCCAGCCCCCGCATCTCCACGTCACAATTCTGCCGGACCCCAAATCTCGACTCCCACCTGGCTCTGTCCTCACCAGTGCTGACCATCGCCTACTCCGTGCAGTGCTGCTCTCTGGAGCGCCCACTGCCTTGGCTCACTGAAACCCAAGGAAGGAAAGCCGGCAGGCAGGGTTTCCCCATTTGAAGCCACCACAATCACCCCTAGAAATGGAGAAATCCAGCACCCTCAAGGGTCCACCGACTCAAGGTGTCACTCACTTGTGCTGCACATTGTATAGTCCTTGACAGCCTCAGGGCATTTTGGGAAAATTCTGGCATTCACAGCTTCATTTCTGGGCGCCTTCTGGAAGAACTGTAAGAATCTCAGTTCCAGTGTAAGGCACAGCGTTTGTTAGGGTCTGTGGAAAGTTGGAATTTTAAAAAATATGCATATCAAGTTGAGGGCCGGGGATTTAGCTCAGTGGTTGTGCTGCCTGCCTTGCAAGCACAAAGACCCAAGTTCGATCCCTGGTATCAAAAAACAACAACCAAAAAAACCCATATCAAGCTGAGCATGGTGGTGCACACCTATAATCCCAGTACTAAAGTGGCCGAGGCACTTGAACTGCGAGTCCAGGGCCAGCCTGGACGTCATAGGGAGACCCTGTTTTAAAAAAAAAGAAAGAAAAAGGAATAGTTTAAATAAAAGACCCAGTGAAGTGTGGAGGCACACGCCTGCAATCCGAGCACCCAGAACACTGAGGCAGGAGGATCACAAGTTTGAGGCTACCCCGGGTTACACAGGGGGAGAGCTTATCTCAAAAAAAAAAAAAAAAAAAAAAAA